CCTCTCCAGTGTGGTACAGCCATTGTTGGACTACTCGGACTCTATCCTGTGAGCTAAGCTGATAAATCTCTATACATATATGTTCATTCTACTTGTTCTGTTTCTTTGGAGAACCCTGACTAATACACGTGGTAATTAAGTAACAGAGGGTAATAGAAATGCAAAGGTTACAGGAATACAAAAGTCTATACAGGAATGTGATAAGTTTTGGAAAACAAAGACTTCTTATCCTAGATAACCAGATGGAGCAGGGGAAGATTCCTGTTTACTTCCCCATTCTGAGAGTTCTTAATTACCATCACATTGCAAAATCCTTTAGCATCTAGATAAATTCTACTCCCACAATACAAACCTCTGCCTCCCAAGGCTCAAAGATCATCCTGGAAGGCAAGGTAGATAGATTATAAGAGCAAGGGGGGTAAATGACCCCAAGGAAATGGTCTTCCACACAGCTGGTCAGTTACTCATATGAACTCACAGTAATGGTGATAGCATGCACAAGTCCTATGCAAGCTCAGACTAGACAAATTTCCAGCAAAGACATGGGGAAGTAGATAAAAAATTCGAACTCAACTTTGGAAATTTTGGCAATTGATGGCTGCTAAGGGCAGGGGTAGGGAATGTTTTATTGGGATTGTCGGGAGCTGGAGAAACAACATTCATTACCAAAAAATATAATATGGCTCTACAAACAGTTGACTTAAGCAGGACATTCTGCCTGCACTAGTAACCTTGAGAAAGAATTTATGGCAAGGTTATCTTTCTCTTCCTCTTGCAAACAGTTCTCAGAAAGATAAGTCATGCAGTAATCTCTTGGAACACCTGGCGGTCAGTCACATTGCTGAATTGCTCAGTCCCCCGCCCCATACCCATAAGAATGCTGTAACCTTTGACCAACTTCTTCAACCCCTTCTAAATACAAACTGTATATAAGAAAAGCTTGCAATACAATAAAGCAACCCTTGACAAGTGGACTTGCTTGGGCTCCGTCTCCTCTTTCTCACCCGTTTTTCTTTTCAGGGAGTGGTCCCCCTCAAGCTTTACCTGTACAGGGTCCCCGCAGGCGGGGGCAGCCTTTGAGCGTGTGGCTTATTCTACCTGAATGTTCTTCATGCATGCTATGGTTTAAATGTCCCTCCAAAACTCACGCTGAAATTTTATTGCCAATATAATAGTGTTGAGGTGGGGGATTCTTAAGAGGTGATTAGGCTATGTGGCAACACCCTCAAGAATGGTCCATTACTACTGGAGTGGGTTCATTACAAATTCTTCTGTCTCATATGTACTCACTTGCCCTTCTGTCAAGTTGTGACTCAGCATGGAAACTCTCACCAGAGGCTTCTTAATCTTGGACTTCCCACCCATGAGATAAACAACCTTCTATTGTTTATAATGTACCTAGCCTCTAATATCCTATTACAGCAACAGAGAAAGGACCAAGACAATCCAGATCTGGGAGCAGCTCACTCCCCATTCCCCTCAGGTTCTTCCTGTAATGTCACCTGTTCCTTTTGTTAGTCACACGATCTAAAACAGAAACGCCTTTCCAGAAACTATCCTTTTCTTCTCATCACTCATCATTTCCTAACTATAGATTTTTTTCATTTTTGAGACAGGGCCTCCCTGTAGCCCCAGCTGGTCTGGAACTCACTATGTAGACCAGGCTGGCCTTGAACTCACAGAGATCCACCTGCCTCTGCCTCCCAAGTGCTGGGATTAATGGCGTGCACCATCATGACTGGCTCCAACTATAGATTTTACTTATCTTCTTTACTTCTTCCCCTTAGTCCCACGAAGGTGGGAATTCTGTGTCCTAGGCTTACTCCTGCATCTTCAGCACCAAGATCAATACCTAGTTGATTCTAGGTGCTCTATGCACCATCAGCAAGCAAAGGGAAGATATATATGATCTATATATATAGATCATATATATGGAAGATATGTACATATATGAATAAAGTATCACATGAGAGAAGGTGTCACTGTGGGGTATGGTCTATTAGGTAAGATTTCTTGAAAGAGATAATGTCTTTAGCTGAGTCTTTAAGAAAAGGAGGGATGAACAAGGTAAGGGAAGACTGAGGGGTAGAAAGTCTGTGGGTATGAGCAGATTACTGGTATGGAAATAGGTACTCAATAAGTGTCTATAAAGCAGTAAGTGAAACAAGACAGAGAGGCTCTTCCAGGCAGGAGAAAACACCGTGAGCAAAGTCAAGGCATGAGGGGGACAGTGAAGCAGTTTGATTGCTGGAGCAGAGAAAGGGATGAGGTGAAGCAGAAAGAAGTGGAGCCAAAGCGGGTCTTCTAGTCTAGTGGAGGTGTGTGGGCTTCATGCTGAAGGCTGCCACTAAGGGGTCAGAACAGGCTAGGAGATGGATTATGTGCCAAAGCCGGGGTTAGAGCTTGGGAGGATTTTACTCCCTGCCCTATCCTTCATCCCTGAGAACCACTGCTCTCCTACAGTAACGAAGCCAGTTAGGAGCCAAGGAGTGCACACTCTATGCTCAAGGGCTTGCCCTCCTATACCAAGTCCTGGGACTTTTTTGCAGGGAAGAAGGGAAACAGTGGCGTGTGGGTGTTCTATTGGAAAAAAGAAACCCAAATCAAACTTAGGCAAGGCTTCAAGGTGGGAAGAAAACCATCTTAAAGATAGCTCCAAGACTCACCTTCCAGTGCACTGATGTTGAGGTTGAGTGCTTCTACTTCATTGGTGACAATGGGACAGAGCTGGACCAAAAGAATTTTTAAAAAGTCATGTTATCATATTGAGACCATGCCTTCTGCTTTAGACCACATTATCCCTGTAGCCATGACAACTTTCCCTTAAGTTAGTTGATGCTGAGTCTTCAAGCTCCATGTGTCTGGGCAGTGTCATTGAATGTTGGGTAAACTTCATAGCAATTGGGACCACACCCAGTTAGTCCCATAAAAGTGCAAGCCCTTGGCTTCTCTCTCTAGACATGTTAGGACATGGCTCCGTCCATGCTGTTGCTGTCACACCTGAGGAACCTGCTGCCGGGGCAGCTGTGTCCTCCTACTGTACCAGCAGCTTCATGCCCTGCCTAGAGTGGCTACTGCTGGAGTCTTTACTTTCCCTTGGGCTAATTGAAGAGAGAAGAGACAATAAGATTAGAGATTTATTCGGGACTCTATTTCCCCATCTCCCTTTCTTGAGACACCATCTCACGTGGCTCAGGTTATCCCTGAACTAGCTATGCAGCTGAGGATGACCTTGAACTCCTGATCCTTCTGCTTCTACCACCCAGGTGCTATGATTACATGTGTGTGCCACCACACCCGGTGTATGTGGTATTGGGGATCAAACCCAGGCTTTTGTGCATGCTAGGCAAACATGTTATCAACTGAGAGATATTCCAGCCCTGTTTCTCCCTAACCCTTGGCAATTTACTTTCACTGCCTGACTTCAGTTTCCTCATCTGTAACTTGGAGTTGATAATTATGTGTACTTCATCATGTTGTGATTGAAATTGAAATAATCTGCAGAATACTGACCAACTCAATAGTTTGCTTTTAATAAGGCTGTTGCTGTCTTGGTCAAGGTAAACATTACTGTTCCCTTTTCACAGAAAGAAAAGCAATGCTTAGAGAGGCTAAGGGTAAGTTGCTTAGAGAGGTTAGGTGAGTTGCTAGGGGTTACATAGCTAGGGGTTCAAGTCTGCTCCTACACAGTGACACAACTGTGGTCTTCTCATACTTTTCTATTTTCTAGTGGTCTGTCTTAGTTTGTTTCTCCATTGCTGTAACAAAACACTCTGACCACTACCAACTTGGGGAGGAAAGGGGTTATTTATCTTACACTGACACTCTGACCACTACCAACTTGGGGAGGAAAGGGTTTATTTATCTTACACTGCCCTGATTACAGTTCATCAGGGAGCCCAAGGTAGGAACTCAGGGCAGGAACCTGGAGGCAGGAGCTAGAGCACAGGCCATGGAAGAACACTGCTTACTGGCTTGCTCCCCTGGCCCCTGCTCAGCCTGCTTTCTTATGCAACACAGGCCCACCTGCCCAGGGGTGGCACCACCCACAGTGGGCTGGGCCCTCCTACATCACTCATCAAGAAGACGCCCCTCAGACATGGCCACAGGCCAGTACAATAGAGGAAATTCCCCAATTGAGGCTCCCTCAACCCAGGTGTGTCAAGTTGACACTAAAGCTATCCAGCACATGGTCTATAGAAGCAAAGCTAATCCGTTATCTTTAAGCCAGCAATAAACTCCAGGCAAAATTCACAACAGGTTTCTGTGACATAATCCCTTTCTTTCTCTTTCTCTCTCTCTCTCTCTCTCTCTCTCTCTCTCTCTCTCTCTCTCTCTCTTCCCTCTCCCCTCTATCCTCCCCACCCACAC